TTTATATCTGTATCTCAGCCTCTTTAGACACTGTGTTTTGCCTAGACATAAGTTCTATCACCTTGAGCAAAATTGTATTGAAAATAAAAGCATGTTTAAACTCATAGTGCCCCCTCTTTTACAATCAAGTTTAATTCTGAAAATCTCCTAATGCTCTGGAACAAGTTAAGCCTAACATAAGCTATATAAGTAGCATTAACCTAATTTTACATATCCTTCCACCCTGATTGTAGATTCTGAAGAGGTCATTTAAGCATCTCAAAAAAGTTCTCCTTATAAAGTTTTATATCCACTTGACAATAAGGAGTTTTGAGAACCACATTTACCTCCTCAAGTAGATAAGACCATTAACCTTTAAAGTGGGATTTTAGTAAAACCTTAATTTTTCCCACACAGTCCCATGACATCAACACTCAGTATTCTTCATAATACGGCCTCAGTGAGGTGGGTAGTGAATATGGCTCACTCAGCTTAGATGCTCTATGATTTTCATGGTACAAAACCTGACACAGACAAGAGACATTTCCTACTGCCAATGTGTTCGAAGAAGTTCTCTCTTTAAATGAGTGACTAAACCTAGGAAGGCATTCCTAGCTAGGATTATTAGCTGACATGTGCTTCTCCAAAGACTGGAAGTGCATGCTTACACTTCTACAAAAAGGAAAATATTCAATTTTGCACTCACTAAATACTGAATTTGCTATACTAAGCATAGACTCCAATTTTTCTTAGCCCAGAGGTTACTCTTCTACCAGCTGTAAAGTTCAGAGCCACAATGTTTAAATTTCTTTTATGAAGCTGTCCTACAAAACCAATTAAAAACTGGGTAAATTGCAAGATAAGAAACAAACAAAAAACCCACAACAACCAAGAAAACCAAAAATCCACAACCCCCAAAACACCAGCATCAAAATAAAAGCAAAACAAAACCAATCAACCAATGAGAAGATAAAAAAAAAAAAAAAGGGGGGGGGGGGGCAGAAAACACAATACAACAAAAACCCCATAACAAAAAGAACAAAGGTAAGGTCCCAATACCACTGATATACCTTTGTGATGGCTGGAATATAGGAAGTCCAAGGGCTGAGCTGATCAGATGATTATAGCTTAGTTATAAATGTACAACTTCTGTCAAGCAGCTGCATGAATGCAGATGTAGTTTTTATTTTTGCGTTTATAACTTTCTTCAGTGTGTCTTCTTTTTCTATTCAATGTGCTTCCTTTATTCAATACTCTGCAAACACTCTAATCTAGCTATAAAGGTTTTATTCTGGACTATAGTATGCCTAGTAACGGAGAGTAAATTAGCATTCTGCAGGCATGCCTTAGCTTCTCTGTGAGCTAAGATACCAACTCTCTCTCTACTGTTCTTATGATAAGTACCATACTGATAGTTCAAACCACGGTAATTTAGCTGACCTATTTGCTGGGAAGCATCAGGTAAAATTTTGTGCAACTATGGAAACATTTAATGCCATGCCATATTGAAAAATAACTTTGAACATTTACTTCTTTTAACTGCTGAATCAAGCCCTGCACACATGTAAAAAGATTTTTTTTTTACCTTTTTTTAATGTTGGGATTTTAAAAGAATGCTAGAAGTATATTAGGTATAGTCCCCTATATAGTCCCCTTTAATTAAATAGAATTTAATTAAATAACTAGTAAGAGAGTGAGTCAATTATTAATTACTCACGTATTCCATATCATTCAAAAGTATTATTTTATCACTGGTGAGAAACTAAGATTAAAACGGCTTATTTTATATTTATTATATCTATTTCAAAAGACTCTTTTATTTCCTCATAGACCTTGCTGGCTTTGTACAACCTCTCAGCCTAGACAGGTTGTATAAAGAGAGCTCTATTCCCAAGACAGCATGTTTAAACTCAATTTTTTTGTTGATACTGCTTTGATAAATCTCAGCTGAAGGTTCTTTATGTACAACTAGAATACAGTGCCTCATTCAGCACTCGGTAGCACAAGCATAATGTGATTTATTCTTCTGAAGCGAGAATCCATTCCAATGCATCACAGTGAACATTTCTACATGCTCTTCAAACCAGAACATACTTCATTCATCATCCTCTGTTATTCTGACCTCATTATTTACTCAAGTACCAGATATGAACATATGCAAAACTCAGTAGTTTAGAAGCAAAAAAACTGCAGCACCAGAGCAAATATAAACATTCTTTGTTGAACTATGCAGTGTAAGAATATACAGAAACAAAAATACATGAAACATTAAGATTAGTAATTAAATAATTGCAAAGTCTAAGTTGAATTTGTTATAAGAAATTACTTCTTTTACATACTACTTTGCAAGGCAATTTAGAAGCAAAACAAGATCTGATTATTGTACATTTTTCTGGCCATAAAGTGCTACATACAGCTGTGTATTAGAACACATATGTAACAATCTTGCATCAGCTTTCTTTTGACATGCATTTTTTTCCAATTTTTGTTAAAAACTGACGAGCAAGGACATAAAAACCATTGTACAGTGATCTTTCATCAACAGATTAACATTTAAATTATATGCACAGACAAGAAGTTTTTTGTAATAGTTTCTAAGTAGGCAACTTTTATTCAAAGAGAAGCTTTGTCATAAAACCAGGCTAATTTATTATTGCTTACCTTAAAAAAAATATACATCTATTATCAAAAAGATGTAAATGACCTTTTGTCATAATCTATCTATGTAAGTTTAGCCTTGCTTGCCTAAACTAACAAATAAAATTTGCTCTTGTATATATTATAATTCCTAGTATTATTGATAGAGGCTATAGCATCATAGGTAAATGCTTTGCTCAGTTTCAAAGTCTCAGCACAATATTCAAAATTCCCACGAAGATAAGCAAGTGAGGTGAAGATTATAAAGAGCAGTTAAGACTAGATTAGAGCTATATTTAAGGCCCAGTACAGTACTCAGCAGATTGAAACAAACAAGCAAACAAACAAAAAACCCCCTACAAAAACACCAAACCAACAAACCAAAAAAACCCACAAGACCTTTTGTCTGAACTCTTAGTCACAGATCACTTAACTCAGACATAATGTCCTAAATAATTCTGCACCAGTGACATACTGTGTAGGGGAGACACACGTTTCTGCAGCATTTGGAAATCGAAGCATCTCTTACAGCTCTATGGAGACCTACTTAAGGTGAAGGGTTAAAAATCACTCTGACACATACTGTTAGTAAGTTGGGAAAAAAATGTCCAGAATAAAGCCTAAAGCTAAGGAACCTCATCAATCAATTTTTCTAACAAAGTTTGGAACCACAGCACAGAAAAGGAGACAAGCTCTAAACAGTACTTAACAAACTAAGTGTAACATACACAGGGCAATAATATTGACTTCAGAAGGTTGAATCGAAGAAAACAAAGTTGTTTTTAGTCTCCCTTCAGTCAGTGACATTACCTATGGAAGAAAGTACACTGTGACATGACACTTTGTACTGAATTTTCAAAAAAACACCATGGAAATACTAACTGGAAGACACTCTCAAGAAGAACCAGAGATCAGAAACTACTTCATGCTCCATCCTGGGAGTAGTCCCAGTTCTAACTCTTCTGTAGAGTGAATTACTATTTGAAACACAAATTATGGAAGTTTTACCGGCAACTGTTTCCACCACTTTCCACAGGAAATCGAAGCAGTCTCATCTGACTGCCAATATCCAATAATCAGACCAGGCCAAAGTAATCCTAAACTGCACATGTAAACGCCCATCAATGTGTTAAAAGTATTTTCTGTTTAGGATGACTATATCTTACAATCAGACATGTATAAAAGGACAAATAATTAGAGAAGTCAATTGGCAGCATATGCTAATCTCTATTTTGTACTTTAGCTACAGTCAGTAGAATATGTTTTAAATAAGCATGCTTATTTTATCAGTGCTTCAGTGGCCCAGGTATCTAAGCTTCATACCTATATGTGTATAATTTTACACAATAACTTAGTTACACATTTACAATAGGCACAAATCCAAACCAGTGAAAAAAACAGACTTTGGATCAGGTTTCCACTTTGAAAGACCCATAATGTTTATTAAGCTAATATTTTTAAACCCTTTACTTGACCTGTAAGTATGCCACTGTATTACAGAATTATAAGCAATCAAATGACCCAGTTATTTATAGTCATGGAAGAAAGTTGTGCTCTCAGTCACTTAAAATAATGACTGCATTTACATTACATTAACTGCTTAATTAAGAACTTCAGTTAGTAATTTACTAAAGATATACTTTTCACCTATTTCTTTTGTCCCATTTTTTCTTAGATGGGAGTTAAGGGCAGCGAATCACATACATGAGCACAGTTATTACGAATTTACAGGCAGAAGTAAATATACTGGTATTGATAAAACATGGAAATGGACAAGTTTTGTAGTAACTAGTGAAACAACAATTACTGGGTGTATACTTAAATTAAAATCAAATATATTCTTATTTTTAAAAATAGAATCTGCATATCTAAAGAAATCAGAAATTCAATTTGATATGGCTATTCCCTTATTATCATGAAAAGGAAAATGCATGCACTTATAAATATCTCAATTTTACTACATATTTTTAGTAGAAATTAGAGTAGAATATATGTGTTTTCTTAACACAAATTTTAAAAGTGGATTCCCTTTTTGATGTACAATTAACTTCCAATAATATGAGTTATTCCCATAATTAGGAAAAGACATATATTCCCCAATTTTTTATTTATTTATTTATTTTTGTTGGTATTCAAGAACAGAGAATACCAAAAAGGGTGCTAGTCTTTATCTACTAAAAGATTGTTTCAAAAAGGAAAAAGAACAATGCTTTCTCCAAGTCTATGACAGGGAAAAGGGGGAAAAAAAATAGTTTCAGTTGTACCAAAAATTATTTGGGGTAGACACCAGGCAAAATTTCCCAGTCTTTTCCCACTGGGAAAAACAACCTATGTAAGTTGCAAAACGAATGCTCTCAGTGCAACCTTTCTTTTTTTTTTTTTACATTGGTAAAGTTAAACATGTATGTCAGGAACAACTGAAGACTGTTGATTCTGCTTCAGAACAAGGATATAGAATGATCTCTTAATGTCACTGGTAGCCATGCTTTTATATGACTGGAAAATATCCCCTGTAAGAACTTACTTTGAGTGAAACAGACCTACAAAGACATTGTAACTGTAGCCCTGATTAGCTTCATCTGACAATGCAAAAATATTGCACTTTAGACAGGTTCATTTTGTTCCCAAAATGAAATTAAGTCAAAGATGACAAATTTTTTGCTCTGGAACACAATTCTCAGAACAGCTTATGCCAAATGCGGGTAAGGTTATCTGCTTTTTTATTCCAGAGGCAAAAAGGTCTCAAGTGTACAGCAGAAAATCAAACTTTCAAAAAACGCTGAAATTATTACCAGTTCTACTGCATAACCAGCATCTGTTCTCATATAAAAAAATAGTGGTCGCATTAAACTTTATTGCACCATCAATTTTAAAATATCCCCCATTCAAGTCAAATATTAAATTATTTTTATCAAACAAAATATAAGGTCTTCTTTAAAATAGCAAGTAGATATAGTGCAGGCGCTATACAGAAAATGAAGTCTATAGGAATTATATACATCAAATCAGAAATGACAGAAAACAATCATTATGTTCTTTTCTATGATTAAAAAAAGATTGCAAAAAGATTGTGTAGGCTATTTATTGTATGCAAGAAAAGCATCCCTCCTCATTCAAGGTGTTGAAGCAGGTGAAGCCTTCAAGCTGTCAAGTGCTGCATGAATTCTGAAGTGCAACCTGGACTCCATAGAGTATTCTTTGTAGTTGTTTCTGCAAAACATACAAATTATTTAAAGAAAAATATGTTTAAACTAGATTATTTCTACTTCACACATGCAGGGAAGTACCAAAGTTTACAGCCTTCGTTCCTTCAAGAGGAAACAGAGGTTGACACAGATAAGAGTTACGAGACATTCAAAGCTTCATCCACAAACTGAGCAGAGAAGCCTTGTATCAGTACAAAAAATTGTCCTGATAAACTGAACCCATGTTTTACATCACTTTCACTTATTTTGATCCTTTTAAGAGTCCTCTCAATTACTGAAGGTTGTTGTACAAAGACAAGCCAAAATACTACAGAAAAGTAAGGCTGTTAACTGAAAGTGTATGTTCTGCATAAAACACAACTCAGCCAGAGTTATAAAACACAGAGAAATCACATTATGTAAATGTACCCCCCATCCCACATCCTCCCCCGTCCCCAGAAAAAAACCCAAAAGCAAGTACAAACTGCAGTGGACAAAAAACTATGCTTCTAAAAAGCTTTTGTTTCTAACTCATGTTTGCAACACTATTGCATGACTGGCATGCTTCTCTATACACACGAGGGACATTCTACCCCATACTACAATCTACAGATGATGCAAACATGCTGCTCTACAGTAAATTTAGCTTCAGCTGGTCTTCTGTGACAGGACGTGAAAGGGAAAAGGGGTGTGATCAGACGTGTACTGGCTTTTAATCTACTTCTACTAACACCTTTAGCACAGCAGGTTTAGGCCTCACAGCTGCTCTCTGGGACAGATGGTACAGATCCTTTCTTTGGACTCTCCAGCTCCACCCCATGCATGCAGTGGAGCTTCAGCATCCCTGAAGCCCAAATGAAAAGGAAACATTTTTCCCTTCATACTGTCATTTTTTGATTCTGTCTACACTGTGTCTGAAGGAGAGAGTTTCATGAAAATGCAAAATTCAACTATACCAGACAAGATCTTCAAACCAAGAACACAGATTTATAATGACTTGTATTTTGCAAAGAAGCTGTCAGGAAAGAAACCACACACCTTCATTGCCACAAATATTCAGCTATTCTTAATTTACAGGGTGATGGCAAAAAAAAATCCACTTACTTTGCAGTTTCTATGTATCTTATTGCTTTTTCTCTCTCATCCTGTTGTTTGTACAGAAGACCCAATTCATATAGGGTGAACGGCACCAAGTAATTATCATATTTTATTTGTTTCTCACTAGAAAATCAGAAAAACACAGAAATGGTTACTTACAACCTTGTCTCAAGCAAGCAGTTAATTTCTAAATGCAATCACTGCCTCTAAGAACATGTCGCCAGAGAAAATGCTTCGTAATCTTTTTTACTCGTTAGCTCTGTACATGTAATTATACCTGTACACAGTTGATGTAAAATACTGCCAATGTGACCTTGTAGGAGTAAAAATTTATCTTTCCTACCTCACTTTTGCCTTGTCATACGTTACCCAAGCTACAACAAACATAAAACTAAGATCCTATTGATGTGATGTATAGTTCAAAAAAACCCCCAACCATACAAAGCCCTACCCTGAGACAAAAATATTCTTTAGGTTATGCAGTATAATACAAATACTTTGTTTCCACACACAAAATTAAGACTGCTTTACTCTAGCTTGTCTGAATAAACTGCAGAGAAGTAAGAAAATTCAACTTTTCCTCAACACAAGAAATTTTCAGAATTACTGTGGCTGTTAGGCATCCCTGAAGATCATCCAATCCAATCCCCTGATCAAAGTAAGGCATACAACAGCAAACTGTCCAGGACTGTGGCCATCAAACTTTCAAATATATTCAAGGATGGAGACTCCACAGTCTCTCTAGGTAACCTGAGCTAATGTTTGACCAACTTGACAGTAAATTAAAACAAACCAAAACCCACACCCTTATGTTCAAACAGTATTTCCTGTATTTCAGTTCCTGCCTGTTATCTCTTGTTCCATCACTGGGAACCACTGAGGAGAGTTCTCTCCCTCTCTCTCTCTCCCTCCATCTTACACACTCTTTTAGGTCTTCCCTTCTCTAGGCTGAACACTCCCTGCTCTCTCAGTTTTTTCTTATATGACAGATGCTTTAATCCTGTAATCATCGTTAGACTTGTTCCAGTGCGTACATGCCTCTCGTACAAATAAGTCCAACTCTAGAGACAGTACTCCGCATGTGGGCTCCCCAGTGCTGAGATGGGAGGAGGATCATTATCATGACTTCCTGAGGACAGTCTTCCTAATGCAACTCAGGACACTTCATTGCAAAGGCACATTGCTGGCTCATAGTCACCTCCAGGCGGAATATGACACCCCAGATTCCTGAGTCATTTTCTGACAAGCTGCTCTCCAAGAAGTCAGCCCCTGTGCTGGTGCATGGGGATATTGCTCCCCAGAGGCTGGAAATGACACCTCCCATTTTGGAACTTCATTATACTACTGGCAGCCCATTCCTCCAACCTGCCCAGGTTGCTCTGAATGGCCGCACACCCCTCTGGCTTATCAGTTACTCCCTCCCACTTTGTATCAAGAGCACATTTGCTGAGCTTGCTTGATTCTGTTCCATCATCAGCTTCTTAATGATGATGTTAAAAACTACTGGCCCCAGCAATGAACTCTGCACTTCTCCACTGGTGACTTCACGCTGCTTATCACAGCTCTTCAAAACCAGCAGTTCAGTCAGATTTCAGCCCACCTCATCATCCACTCATCTAGTTGAGATTTCGGTCAGTTTCTTTGTGGTGACATAGGAGACTCTTAAAAACCTTTCTAAAGCCAAGATAAAGAGTGCCCACCATCTACTGAGTCATTCATCTTATTGTGGAAGACTATAAGGATGATTAAGTATTATTTCGCTTTCATAAATCCATTCTGACTACTCTACCTTGCCAGGGACTGATGAGGATTTGACTTGCCTGAGGTTTCCCAGATCCTCCTTCTTGCCCTTCTTAAAGATAGGGGTGACCTTTGTTTCCTTCTGGTCTCCATGAGCTTCCCCTAAATGCCATGACCTTCCAAAGATAATGGTGCCACAATGACATTGGCCAGCTCCCTCAGCACTCATGGATATATGCTAATGTCCTGCGTACTTCGATACATCCAGTTGCCATGGACATATATAGGCCTAGTCTGTTCATGCTTTTCCTAACCTTACCCTCCTTCAGCAAGGGTAATTGTTCCTTGTTCCAGACTTCCCCACAGGTTTCATGGATCTCAGACTCCTGATCTTGCCACTAGAGAACAAGGTGAAGAAGATTATCACGTATTTTGGCCTTTCCTGTGCCTTTTACAATTGAATCTGATTCTTATCTGGACAGAATAACATCAACCAATACTGCAGAACAAAAAAGTTCTTAACAAGTACTGGGAAAGCTTTCAACATTTTCAGCAGCACTTCTACAGAGGCACCTCATCCATCAAGATAAGCCTTGATGAGAAAGCACGTCTTTGAGCAGGGGGACTGCTGATGTGAGGAACAGTCTTAAAACACTGTAGCAGCCCTAGATATGCAGAAAGCAAAGCTGAACACAATGTATTTAATTTACCAGAAACCTTCTCCTACTCCCCACGCAAAACACTTTATGAACAACTGTTGTCTTTAGATTTTTTTTTAATATCTCAGCTCTGAAAGCCTGTACATTGCCAACTACCTTTGGAACAAGATTTTCCATAAATACCATTCCTTTAACTTGCAAGCAATCATATCCCACTGCCTTGTAACTTGCAAAGTGTTTGACTAAACTCACATGGGATCTTAAAAATGGTAAAAGAAAACAAGATGGAAAGAAAATTAAAGCATACAGTAGAATTATAAATAACAAATACGCCTAAAGTATTAAATTTTGTAAATTACTTGTTAGAAAAACTGCTCACGTAAAAACGCTTTTTCAGCCCAAATACTTTAAAACCTATTAAAAGTTTACAACTACAACCAGCATATGACTCATGTTTTACAATGAGAACTTACTACAGGAGATAAGGATCTGACACCTAAAGTATTTAATAAATCTGTAACACAGGAAAATCAAGTTTTCAGCTGAAACATGCAGCAACAACAACTTCTCATCTACATGGGAAAGCATTGACTACTAAAGCACTAAATCCTGAAAAAAATCCCAGGAAACCTAAGTGAATTATCTTTACTTACCGACAGTTCTGCAAATACAATTCTAAATGCATTTGGATGTGTTACCCAGCAGTTTGATTTATGTGGTCTAAAACACCACATATATAAAGCTATATAAATGCTACATTGCTACAGAAAAATACTAGCAAAGTTTTGTGGTTCTATGACTACTTTCAGAGATATTTTAATTTCAGATCCTTAAAAGGATGTTGAAAATTATACAAAATTCTAACATCACAGTTTCTACAGAGTATCAGAAATTCCACCAAAAGCTATAAAATGTAAAGGTTGAAATATATTTCTGTTACTTTTTTACCTCTGAATTACTTTACTGAAACACAGTTCAGCTTGCATGAGTCTTCCCAAGTGTTTCAGACAGAGGCCTTTCAGTAGCTGCAGCATGCACACGTCATCTATATAATACTCATTGTGATCTAACAAGAAAAGCAAGATAGATCAATTAAGTATAAGACATTGTGAAAAGGAAAATTAGATTTTCAGTAGGGAATATGTATTCAGACTCAGGACGTTGTTTCTTATGTTTTATACCTCAAAATATACAAAACCTTCATGCACAATTTAAAATGTCTACTAAAGAAGATGTGTCCACAACACCTGCATTTTCCTCTTTAAAGAGAGTCATAAAATAAGAAGAAATTGAAACAACCAACAAACAGGCACAGACTGGCATTAAAGATTTCTGTACTTGTAACATCTAAACCTACAGTGGGATAGGAACCACCACACTATCTTAATAGCTTCCTGTGTGTTGTGGTTTTTCTCTGGGTCAATTTGCTTTTACACCCCACACACAATTATTACTAGTTGAGAGAAGGTTTATGCAGACAAAAGAGACACGATTTGGGGAAAATAATATGAACATTTATTACTAACCAAATAAAAACTACTAAAGAACTATACCTACAATAATTCTACTTAGGTAAAAGTGCTATGTACGTACAGAAATACTCCTCCCCCCTTTATACCAGTCCAAAGAGGAGAAGCAATCGCATTCTCCATTCTCGGAATTCCAGCTCTCTCTGTAGTAATTCTGCAGCAGTACTCTCGTCGCAGTTGGAACTTTTTCATCTCTCTCTCTCTCGCTTTGTGTTGGCCTCCAGGGCTGGGCCTACCCCCCTCCTGGGCTAAGACCAAAGGCTGGGGGTTACCCAGGTCTTGAAGGGTCTTCCTTCCATAGGCTTAAAAGGGGACACTTGCTTGCTATGGATCTTCTTCCACAGGGTTACAGGGGATAATGGCTTAAGAGTTCACCCCTGTTTCCCTACGGAGGTCCCTCCCCATGGGAAAACAGTCCTTGATAGACTTCTCGGCATGGGTCTAGCATGGATTCCACACACACACGGATCCCAACATCCCTACCCGAGCCGCTTTTACTCCAGCGTAGGTCTTGTCAGGGTCACAAAATCTTCAACAACAGTATGGATCCACACACACATGGATCCCAAGCTTACCCAAGCCATTCTGCTCCAGCGTAAGCTTCATTCCCCTCAGGGTCATAAAATCTTCAACAGCAGTATGGATCCACACACACAGCTTCCAGTATCTCACTTGAGCCATCTCGCTCCAGCGTGAGTTTCTCTCAAGGTCACAAATTTCCAGTACCAGCAGCATGGATCTCTCATTGAGATCCTAACTTATCCGAGCTGTCCTTGCTCCGGCATAAGCATCATCCACTTCAAGGGCCATAAAGTCTTCAACAGGACTCTGTCTCATTTCAGTCCCTCTCATGAAGTCTTGATTCTCTTCGGTACATCCACAAACTCCTCTGTGAGCTGCATGGGGGGGTCTCCTCACCCCAACAATCTCCTACAGGTAGCAGGGATTTATTTTTTTCAGTCTTTTCCCTGCTGAAGGGAAAGAGCAAAAAAGGGGGAGACACAAGCCCCCCCTTTGCACAGTTCTTCTTTCTCCTCCGGTTTGACCTTGGAAGTCCCTTATTTCCTCGCTGGAATTTCTCTGCAGCTGTTTCTGTCCAAGTAGTTACTCTTTTAAACTTTTTTTTCTTCACTCTTTTACAAGAGAGAAAGGAGGCTTCAGTGCCGCACTTGCCCCCCCCTCCCCGGCCCAAGCCAGAGTAGAAGGGAGCCTGGCCCTGTTCGGGCCCGCTGCTCTTCGACACGGCTGCTGCTCCCTAATTTTAACTGTGCAACAAGACCTTCTCTTCCGTTTTCTTAAAGATGTAATTAGCAAAGGCATCACTGAATTTTTAACTGGCCTTTTTGTCCGGAAATTACCTGGACAAAACCATCCTCAGCCCCAGGGGCTGGCCAACTGGGCAAAACCACGACACTGTGTTACAGAGCACTTGCAGACCTCCAGTAGCACCAGTAATATGAAAAAGCACTAAATCACACTATGACTCTGTCCTACAGAGCTTTCCAGAAGCATTATTTTGCAGTACCAATTCAAGAAACCATAGTAATTCCATCATCTCTAATGATTAAGAAGTCTCAGTATAATGTATAACATTTGAGAAATTCAATAAAGTTTTACCTTCAATAGGACTAAAAATACCCGATGAAAGAAGGTTTTTGAATCAATTCAAAATGTACTTAACGTGTGTGGTCCTTTTCTGTTCCCTTAGTTTACAGCATTTGCTGTGTGCAAGGAGGGAAAAGAAAGGAAAGAAAACACATATGGATAGACAGATGGCAGCACATACTTAACAATTCAGGAAGCAAAACACTCTCACTTCAGATCATGTTGTTTACAACTAATTACCAGCTCTCTAAGGTCATGGTAATTTTTTTCTTAACAGTCTGCCAAAGAAATCCTACGTAAACACCTCTGAAACATGCAAGACTAACACATGAAGGATTCAAAGAAGTGCTTTATCACTACATTCAGGCTTATTTCTGTCTGTGTTTAAACCTAGAAAGTCTCAATAGATAGTAACTCACAGACTGCACTTTTAGCGGCATGCAGAAGCACACTGGGCAAGTACTTTGCATTCTCTGTAGTCTGCTTTGCTAGGCTAAGGTATTGGATTCATGTGTCTTCTCTTGAAGGACTTATTCACTGAAATTACTGAGGGCGCATACTCATGTCAGTGAAGGCTTGCCAGTCTTTAGCAAGTACAGCTAGTACCTCCCTGGTATTTCCCAAAAGAATAGAAGTTATCATGCCAAAACCAAAACAGTAAATGACAACAAAGGCACAGTATTAGTACAGACAACTTTGCAATCAACCTGGAAAAACCATCTTCTTGCAGTCCTCTGCACCAGAGGAAGTATCACTATTCAAATTACTAAACATGGAACGAATTTTTCTTGAAGTTACATATTCCTTTTTTTATACATTATAAATTACAAGAAAGGAAAAATAAGATTTCCAGAAATCCTGAGGGGAAAAAGAAGAAAAACTACATCTCTATTATCTTTCCTCTGTTCCTTCTACCCTCTCTATTTTCAGCTCTATACAACATAAAATTACTTGCAATCCTTGAGAGAGTCCTTGCTGTGACTATTCATGTGAAGCAAATGAAGTAAAAGCAGCCCTCTCTAAGAAGTCTCAATCCCTAAATGACCTTTGTGTATAATCAACACACTTTTTTACAACACTTTAGTAGTCATTCAACACTATCTAGTACTTAAAACTGTCTCTTAAAGTAATATTGTAACCTTGTCATACTCTACTAATAGCCTTAATCACTTCTGCTTTGGGTCTTAATTCATCAGCAATTCTGGTAATCAGAGTCTTTATCTTGTCTGAGTCCGTATCTTTAAAAGCAAATCAGGGTCACACAAGCAAAGTCCAGAACACAACTATATTTGGCTGAGGTTATTACTAAAAAAAGACACAGAAAGCATACATGCTTACAGATTACATCGTATTTGCAAACAGCGTATTTCCACAAGAAAATCATAAGTTTTATTTCTGTCCCTTTTATTTTGGTACCTTGTACATCCCCACTTAGCGTTTTGAAAAGACTTTTATTTTATAATTACAGCTGATTAGTATCTATAGCACAAGCCTCTGCATGATACAGCACAGGATTCCCAAGAGGTTCTGTCAGAACCCTCCATGCAGAACTCATGGGAACATTATTTCATTGGCAAATATCTTGCATATCACTATACTTTTGTTTCATTATGACAACTGCAAAAAAAAGGCAAACCACTTGAGATTTAAGAGGCACACTATTGATTCTGCAGAGACCATAAAAAAAGTTAAGGACCCAATTCAATAATGGCCTTCCAAGTTACTCTCATTTGGTTTATTATACTATCAAGACTTCACCACTATGTATTTCTTCTATGTCCTTATATAACTTTTTATGCACCGCCTCCGTTTATACTGTAAATCATACTTAGATACATTTTGTGAACCATAATTAAAGTTTTGCCACATGGTTAAAACAAACTTGCTAAATCGTTGATAAGTGTGACTAAAATCTGGGTTAAATAGAAATTATTATTAATGAGGTATCATTTTAAAAGTTTCATGTGCAAAAAGTTTCATGTTTTTTGAGAAAAACTCAAAAGAGAATTCTACCAAAAAGTTCACATGACAGATGACAGCACCCACCTGATAAAACCAGGTACTTATGCACTAAAACTGTTGCAATAATGCAATTTAAATTATTTTAGGAGAAAGCTATGGGCTGATTCTCTACACATTAACCTGAACATCTATGCTTCAAATACATCAAGATGCAAAAAGCTATGGTCAAAGTTTAATTGTTAAGTATGTTTTATTTTACAATTAGCAATCATGTTTTATTTTCCCACAAAGTAGAAAACCAACCAATCAAACAACCCCAATAAACTCGTTCTGCATAGCACTTCATCATATCTTTTATACTTTGTCATATTCTGCTCAGTATGTGTCCTCTGTGGTAAAGTTAAGTGTGGTGTAAATTGGTTTAGAAAAAGTATTTTTCAGACATTTAAGAAATTAGTGGACTATGCTCCAAGAACACTCAGAGACTGGAACAAATTATCAAGAACCAGCCATGTTCTGTTACTAATAACTTCATATCCTCGAGTTTTCTGTATTCTTCCACAGCATCAATGAAGCCGGATAAAGAACGTATTGAAGAACCACTCCTAACTTCCACGTGGCTCCAGACTTAATGGCCCATTGCCCAAGTCAACACTTTCTTCTCAGAATATTAGTAAACAGAAGCACAGGAAAATGTCAGCATTTCTTACAGATTACTAATATCACCTTAACCGATCACTTACTCGTTTCATTTTGTAGAGCAGTTTCTTCTTTTTCAATTGTTACCAGTAAGTTTTCTGTGAGGTCTGATCTTTTGCCCACAATTGCAAATCCATTCCAGACATACATCATTTCCTGACCAAAAAAAGAAAGAAAGAAAAAAAATCAACAAATAAAAAAACCTGTAGGACAAATCATGGAATTGCATGAATATTTAACTGAGGAGAACTTATGATAAGACTGTTCTGGAATATAAAAAACCTATAAAAAGTAGCTTTAAACAATACAAAAGGTCTACAAATAGGAAAGGAAAAATTACTTTGACTGTGTGTTGACAAAGCTAACCTGGGTTTCTAAGTTTTGAATGTTTTGACACCTTTTTAATGGATCCTACTATCACGTATTCTCAGAATCTTTGAAAATTACTGTCACCCACGTAACACATCAACAAAACTGTGTATTTTAGGTTCAGTTTGTGGCCTCTACCATATGAACTAGAGAAACAGCTGAAAGTAGTTATAGGTAAATTTGGTATGCATTTGAGTGTGGGATGTATACATTTATATGCATGTACCCAAACACACACTCGTGTGTTAACATATATAGATGCTCTCATCTGTAGACTGTTACCCTCCGTAGAGTGAAACTGGAAGTACATACAGCTTTCCGGATAAAAATGTGATTCCAGTATGCACATCCAACACATGCTTTTAATATAATTTCTACAAAATCTGATTAAAAATCTCCAAGGCAAATTCTGGGCACAAAGCTTCCCAGATGCTTCAGTACAATAGTAAGTAATATGCTTGGTTTGATACATTATCACATTGTAAAACAAAAAGAGAATGAGACAATACACAGAGTCAACGCTAACCAATATGAAGCTTTGCCAAGATCTTCATTCAGTCATCGCAAAAAGGACTATAATTTGTTCTACTGTATTTGAATTGTAATTACCCCCCTGAAATATGAAGTCTAATGTCATTCTGAAGCTGATACAATACATTGCTGAAATATTTGCACTTGTATTTGTGCTGTAAATATGTGCATTTAAAGAGGGAGAAAAAGAGCTGGCTCTATAAAATTCTGAAGCAGTGTTATTGACACCATTGACCACATCATGGTAGATTGGTTTCAATTCTGCAGTCCTGTCTAATTTATGCTTACTGCAGTAAACCATACACTATGCTTAGTTCTGTCTTACCAAAAATCAACCACCACTCTTCATTTTTATCAGAAGAACAGAGAAGTACTGAAGTACTCCTTAACTTCCTAATGAATCTAGAAGACAAGGACTGAAATCCTGCCAACTTAATAGCATGAACACAGGTTTCTAACTGAAGGGTAACTTTTAGCCTCATGTGGCAACAGCAACCAATTCTCTGTATGACTGAACTTTCATGTGAAAAATCTGGCTCTGGTTTTGGACTACTACTAGTTGGTACCATAATCTAGTCTCTAGTACATTTCACAAAAATTCCATTGCATGAATGCCATACTTTTTTAAAAAAATAATTATAAAATGCAGACACATAATACCCTTTACAATGAAGTATACTGCTTTCTTTTCTGTTTGAAAAGTGTGAAAAGAAAGCAAGAACAAATACCAAGGCAGGTAATATCAGCTTCACTGGTTGAGAACTTGCATAGCGTCGAGCTTTCCTCACTGCAAACTTCTCAGTTGGGATAGATTTTCCTGCAATTCTCTGTTTTAGACCATCCACTTGTCTATAAGAAGGGAAAATGGAAAATAAAAATTACATAAAGTAACTTTTATTTCATCTCATTTCACTCAGTAGGATTTACTGTTTGCCTCTGAAGTATAACATCTTAAATTGTTCCACATCACTCAGACCACAGCTGTAGAATGTATGTTTGCTGAACAGCATATTAAATATTCTGATGCTAAAAGTAAAGAGAAAAACTGAAAAGTTTATGATTATAGGCAGGAAGTAAGTCACGCAAGACAAAGACATGGGAGAAAAAGACTGCACATCTAGTTACTTTATAAATTTTTACCTGAATAAAGACACAATGTCCTCACCAGTCTTCTTCAAATCATCCTCTGGAAGCATACATAGAATTGCTGCCTTCTGGAATACATAGATTGCCTATTTCAAAAAGAAATAGCAACATATTACCACATCCAGTGCGCTGTTTTCAGTCAGTACACTAAGGACTCAAATCTCTCATCCCAATTGCTGCAGCAAAGTGTTTCCAGTAATTCTCAGGCAGGGTGAACTATAAAGTCTAGCATTCCCTTTATCACATGATTTATGCTATAATTTTATTTTCAATGTATTTATTAATATTTTAAGTTAGTGAGTCAGAAAGTTAAAGGTGTCTCCTGCAAAGAACAGGATAATTTATTATGCAACCCACTGTTAAAGAGATGAGGTTAAATGACATAACTATACTAAAGTCCATTACTGTTACTATATGATCTATTACATGTAGACATGCCTGAAAAAACCAAAAGAAAACATCCGAGTACTGATTCAAGGAAAGTCTAATAATCAGGTTTTCCAGAGAAAAAAAGAAACACCCATAATTCTTTTCAAGATATTTGCACTTCATGTTCAATATACTATTCTCTTCCTCTTTTGTCAGAACTTGGAGGTATCCCCTTTTTCATTAAACATCATAAAACTGTAGCCTAGATAGGAACAGACGACAATAATGCATCAAGAATTATTGACACATAGTGCTTGGTTCATACTTTGAGAAACATTTTTACAAATAAAAGGCTGACACCCCAACTTTCTGATGAGACCCTGTCTCCAGCAGCCTTCTCATGTCATAAAGCATCTGCTGAGTAGGTATACTCTTTGTTTATAATTAACTAACAAACAAAGTTTCTTCAGCCAAGTTTTACTAGAGGATGCTAGAACTTGACTTAAAATTCAAGGTAACGGTTTTCCTATACATCTTCTTTCTCACAGCTCTGGTAAGCATCTCCATTTTTGGAGAAACCAAAATACTGCTGCTTATGGCTCTGGTGCCTCAATAAGTGAAATAAAAAATCCTCCCTAACAACCCAATAAAATCTACCATTTTGGTGCCGTTGTGCCTTTACTTATGGGTTTTACAAGAAGGCAAAAATTACACATATTCTGAAAACCGAAAAGTAAATCAAACTGTAAAGAGACATCTGGTACATCACAACAACGTCCACCTGCCCATTTACCTTAGACCACCTGCTCTCTCTGCTGAGCAGGTCTGCATACCGATATGCTTGAAGCCAGTCCTGCTGGAAGGTGTAGCACCACATCAGTTCCCAGTAACAGAGATGATGAATCTGTTTCCACTCTTGCTGGGCTGCTATGCAGTCTTGAAACCTCAACTGTGCCTACAATGTAGTCAAGTAAGAATGAGGAAAACTGGCTCAATTACAGCTCCATGTGAAAGCCATGACTAATCACAGAGTAAATTCTTACTTAACACCCAAGTGGAGAACACCTGACTAGTAAAATGAGATAAACCTCCCTTTCAGTCTCACTTACAGAGAGAGGGCTGGAATCAACATTGACAGTGAACACAAACTGAGTATAGTTACTAGTCCAACTAAAAGGAGCTACTTAGATGAATTAGTTAATTTTCCCCCTCAGGCTGAACACTAAACAAACAAAGACCCTAAAAAGAAAAAAATTATTTACCTTTTCAAAATTTCCTTTCAGTGTATCTATTCTGGCAGCATAAAATAGAATAATGGAACCCTTGAAAGGAGACGAAAAAATAACCAGTGAGGATTTTAAGCTTACGGAATTACATTGCTCTTATAAAATTTATTGAAAATACACACATTCGGAAATTTCTGGAGGTAGGGTTCGAGAAGACTTTCTGCTTCCTGAAGGTTGGCTTCCCCTGTACCTAGAAAACATAACAAACCAACCTCACTCAGTGCACTTAAAAAAACCTCAAGTTTCATAGAAAAAGATTTTGTTTCCAAATAATATTATGACCTCAACAGATCAATGGATTACCGCTTTTTATGAAAAAGCAGAATTATTTCATCATACTGTGTTTCTATAGAAATAAATTCTTGTCCCAAAGGTACTAAGTGCTAATAAGGTTCTAAATGTCTGTAAGTAGAAACAGACTAGAATTATAGGGATATTCTTTAAACTGTTCCATTATGGATTCTAGTTATATTTTTAAATCCCTGTAATTGCTTTAGCAAGCCAGGAAAACACTCCTCAGCTGCCTCTTTTCCTAATTTTGAGCTCAGTAATGAAGTACAAGTGATACAGAAAGAAATGAAGTTCTCCTTAATTTCCTGATGAGCCTGAGGGACAAGGACTAAAATATTTTAAAATGAAAGAACATGAAAATATATGGCAAAAAGCACACAGAATTAATTATGGCTTTTACCTCTATGTGGCAAAAGCAATTAATTCTCTGTATGTATGTACTTCCAAGCAAATTGTTTGGGTGTAGAGGCTTTTTTTCTGGAGTTTTCAAATTATCTGATCTTAATTTATGCATAATGACTTCTCTTAGCTTAAAACTGTTTTCCAATATTTTGCTGTCACATGTTGAGACAGCCCTGCAAATGGAGCAAGATGTTGGTATAATGCTATCTATCTGCACTGTTTCTGCAGACACAGCTTTGTCAAGAATATTTCAGATCATAATTAAGTACACAGCAATCTCCTATTTGGCCACAATTTAGAAATTCAGTTATAGAAATAAATCACAATATCTATTATAAGGTGTAGCATGACCGCAAAGCTACACAGTGGGTCTCACCAAGGATTAAGGAGACGTAAGTATGATAAACCAACAGGGTGAAAGTACACAGAATGGCCCTCAAACTGCTGCCAGATGCGCCTTCCCGTAGTTGGCAGAGGCCCAACTCCTAAGAAATATCACAAACACATGCAGAATTAACTATCAGTACACACAGTTACTACTATTTGTTTCTGGCTAACCAAAATCCAGCTTTCCTTTCATATATAAGTATTCATAATTCAGCACTTTATCATCACAAATCCAACACAATCTGCTACCAAAACAATTCTGTCACAGCTGATAGTACTCAGGAAGGAGAAGATTAATCTAACTCTGAACAAAAATTACTCATGCACTTCAGTGCTATGGTGAAATGAGAACACCACATGAACCATGCAGACACACAGGTCTACATCCCTTCCCCATTTTTTTTCTGGCTATGATCCTGTCAGAATAACATCTTTAAGTCTATGCTTGGTGAGAACCTCTCCCGACTGTTCCAATGCAACTCCTTGGCGTGAGTCTTCCTTCACAGAAAACCCTGGTTATCTTCCATTTTCTTCCATCAAGTCAGCCACTATTTTGAGGTTATGATCAAAAAACGAGCTCTGCTATTACAGCAATATCTAAACACAGATCCAGATTCACAAAGACTTATTCAGCACTAACACATGAGACTTCTTCCTCTACTTTCCAGTTTAGGCCAATTACAGTACAGCTTCACTGCTTGGGGGTTGTAGAGAAAAGCTCAGAGTTCCCCTACTCAACAGCAGCAACTCTTCAGAAACATACCAGAATTTAAAAATTTTGCCTCAAAACGAATATTAACATATCAGTTCTACTGCATAGCAGCTTGACAAGTTATAGGAGAATTCAAGTAACACACAAAAAATGTGGTAATATTCCAAAATTTTCTTTTCAGCTTTTACTGCCTTTTCAGTCACAGCAAACGTGTTATGGAAGAGCTTCAGCATGAACTAGGCCTTTCAGAGGAAGCAATAAACAGGTCTCTACAGAAGTCTAATTTTACAAAGGGAAAACCATATTGTGGACAAGCTAACAGAATAAGACTATATGGTGACTCTGCAGCATTAATAACTTGAAGTTTAGTTATGTATAAATCTGTGGGTTGTTTTGATAGGTTTGTTTGTTTGTTTGTTTTTTTAAATTTATTATGGGCACCAGAAAGAGTTTTAAAGAGCTGTGCAAAACAAGGCTAGGTTTAGAAAACAAGACAATAGTTACAAATTACTTTGCTCATCCATGAGGAAAAGGTGTATCTAGACTTCAGGGTGGCATATGATATTAAGAAATTCTTTTTTCCAAAGAAATGGGCTGGGATTTTGGATGGAAAAATGTAGAACTGTGATTCTTCCCCCAGTTGCTGGTATGAGGAACATTAATTTCTGACTAAATAAACTAGAAAAGAAGGCTGATATCCTCTACTTAAGGATCAGCAAAAGGAAATAAAATTGCATTTTGAAAAATCCTCTCTGAAATAGACTGGTCATTTCCCAAGATTGTTAAAGAGCCAGGTATCACCATATGTACTTTTATGCCTGTAATCATCTAGTCCACTTGTCTTTTTAACAACGTTAAAATACTCATAAAAAAAAAAAGTGATCATTATACTTTTACTGTGAAATATATGACATTAAATCCATCCAGTCTTTATCTGAGGAAAGATTAATTTGAAAAGGTAAGTATCAGATGAAATACCCTATTGCCAGAAAATCCAATAAATTCTAAAAGTCGGAGGATCCTTCCTGGTAAAAGTGACAGCATCTGAAATAAATTAGAAAATAAAATATAAATAAAAACATATATATTTCAAGAAAAGTTAAAATAGTTATAAACTTGAACAAAAAAGGTCAGCTACTATGTTACATGCTATTACATATTAGAAAAAAAAGTAAAACGCAAAAGAGTTCACAAGTGGACATGCACGCTCCGAATTTTGATGACTGTCCAGTATGAAAAAAGCAGAACAGAGACCAGCTGTGTTGTTCAGATAATGACAAATTTTTCTGTCTTCAGCTGATCAGAACTGTTTGAAAATTGTGGGTCACTCAGAATGAAAGTATTATCTATTTTGGTAGTACTTACAACCTACAATTGTCATCTTCCTTCCAATAAAATGACACAATGGTATCACAAAAGTCCTGCTTGTTCCTACCGTGGGAGCACCAAATTAGCAGACCAGTAAGCATAATTGTTTTAGAAATACTAGCTATTGTCATCATCCTTAACCCTCTACTTATATGCATTTTTGTTCCCCTGTTTGGAGAAAATGCATCCTTTACATCCTACACAACAGAGGACTTAGAAAAGATCATAACCACCTTTTCAGTGAGCATTCCAAGAAGGTCTACTTGGAGACACTACTTTAAAACCTCCATTCACCTTAATACATTCTGTTAAGCAGAGACTTTGTCTGTTAAGCTTCCTACTGAGGAGGCTACATGAACAATAGGAAATGTCAGAACACTTAGGAACACAGACATCTACCAATTGTTTTCATTTTAAAGGCTGGTGCAGATAGACCTGAGTTCTTCTAATCATACTAAAAATTGGCCAGATCCAGTCTAGAATGATACAGAGATGAACATACCAGCAGAAATTAACTCTCACCATTGCCATGACGGATGTAAAAAGGTAATCATAATAAATCGTGAGGAAAACACAGTCTCCACAGTCGTCTTCTACACAAACTCAGTAATCTACTGTTAATTCTTCTAAGTGTAATTATGTATGAAAACCTAAAGTACCACTGAAGCAAAAGAATGGTATACATGGTGGAGTTAGAACTAAACAGTCACTCCAGGTATCCTGTAGCCACCAGCATAAGCATCTTGAAAATTCCTGCTATACACAGGTAGATGTACATAGCTGCTTTTCCACTTCAGAAATGAAGTAACATTAGTTACTTCAAGAGAATGAAACACAGTTCAGAATAAACCAGTAGAAACATCCTAGAAAGCATGCATGCCAAAGTCACTGCTATTTTGCTATTGCATAAAACCTCCAAGGCCTGCATCTCCATTTTACAAATGGGCAAATGTTAAAACAGAATTAAAGTAATGTATATGCAAAGACACTTCTACAGAATTATCCCAATGGCCCTTCTGTAGTGTGAGGAAGTCATACCAAGTTGAAGGCTCCGATTCCGAGTTTTACTCCTCCTTCAAACTGGTAATAAGTTTCATTTTTGCTTTTGTTCCCCTGAGTCATCTGTAGCACCTGATGACATTCTCTTTTGATGCAGGAAAAAAAAAAGAGGAAAGGGGAAACATGACTTAGAAATTATACGGAGTATGATCACTATGATTGCTATAAAAAACATTTTATTTTGGGGGCATTAATGACACTCCAACTGCTTATACGAATGTTGAAACTAAGTGTTTTCTAATTGCTTACTTGTATATTTGGTAACTTGTCCTAATTTTGAGGCCACCTTTGATAAAGTTGATCATATTTTCATCCTGGAAGAAAAAAAATTAATTGTACAAAATAGTGCATTCAGAAATCACACATAACACACACATAAAAATCTTCCACCTTTTATTTGTGTCTTCCATACATTTATTTGTAACTTAACAGTCATTGGAAACATTAAAAATGCTTTTTAGTTACTAGACTCATTTCTAAGACCAATGTTAAGACTTGCTTTAAGTTGTCAGGGAAATACTTCTGTGGTGCATGTTACAAATATTAAAACTTGAGAGGGAGGCGAAAAAGAGAGCCAAAGAGTTACTTTTAACAGAACTTTCAATGCATATAAAGAGAGCTCTCCACCAGATGGTGCTGTAGGAACTTTTCAGAAAAATTCGAATTGGCAATTCTCACACACACAGGCAAGCCCACACAGAACCTGGAAAAAGACAAACTGAAGAATCCCCTGAACAGATGAAATCCCACTGCTGATCAATATAAACCACAAGTACTACCCAGTATATGTGTTTACTAATCTCTAGAAAAAGCAAAACAAAGCCACAATGTAATAGCCATCAAGACTCAATACCTAAAAAGCAAGACAGGTAACACTTCAACAAGACATAATTTTTTCCTCTTAGAATTCCCCTTAGAAAGGGGAGATGTGCAGGCATTTCAGAAATGCATATTTAAATACTCAGGGACGGCATATATGATGTGGAAAATGAAAAAGCACCAAAAAAAGATAAAAGGCTTATAACCATCAACAAAAGGAAAATTCTGGCTTCCATAAAAAGGTCACCATTTTAAAAGATTTCATCTGTTTTGTTTGCAAGTCTAAACACTCAAATGCAAGTATTTTAATACAAGCATTTTAGTTCCCCCTTTCTGAGTGGTTACAGTTTCATTATCATCATCATTCTCAGATGAATCAAGGTCAACCAAAGATGAAAAATATAAAGCAGGACCACAATCAGCAGGGTGGGGTATTAATAGTCAGCAGCAATAGAGAGGTGCTGCTTTAGAGAAAATATACATCTAAGGGTTTTTAGAATTTATTTTATACATTCCTAAACTCATCTACTTCAACAACTGTTAGAAAATTCCTTTCGTGCTTAAAAAAAGCCTCACCCACCCAATAAAAATAAAAAGGGTTGCTTCCATTTGGTTGGTAAAGGAGAAAGCCAGGAAGCTAGGAGAAAGCCAGTTACAGGCATTCCATTAATAGAATTTCCTGACACTTCTGGCCAAAGTACTGTATTAAGTGGTTTATAAATATCTGCCAAATGAACTTATCTGATCTTAGTGCCTTGCTCCTTTCTCATAATTTATATCAGATTATCTAAAATATATTCGATAAATGTGTAAAACATTCACATACATTAAAAAAGTATGATTAACAACTCCTATTTTCAGCAATCAGATGAAAAAACACTGTAGCATGAAGTCCTTTAACCACAATCTAAACTAGTAGCACCAGACAGTTTAAATACCAGATCCTTCTGTGGATTGAACTGTTAATTCAGCAATGCTAAGTCATGATCATTTTATAATCATTCATTACTATATTATTCCTGACACTATGTCAAAAGTGCATAGAGAGCAAGACTGAATTGGAAATGACAAGTGTGCATCAGCTGAAGTTTAGCTGGGAAACATTCTATCCTTTTGTGCAAAAAAAGATTTGCGCTTTCAAAGCAGACACTTCCTCATACTTGAACATATTTTTATAGGAGCACTGGACACTGTGCAGTGTGGTGCAAGTAATTTAAACATAACACCTGTATAACACTACAATATACCTTGGTGATACCTTGGTACCTAACATGAATAACACCTTTGGTTATTCAAAAAAACAAAGAGAGGGCTTTGCTAAGTAGCACAGAATTTACCATACTACAAATCACTGCCATGAAGTAACATTCACTAGCAAAAAGTTTATTTTTTAAATCCATATCTGGTGTTGGAATGATGTTTTACAAATACTAATCTCTCTCCAGTACACTGCTACATAGAGATATGAAATCAAGAATTTATTTTACCTGCACGAAGGTGAGAGCTGCTTTCTGTAATAAGCATTCAGCATAGCAGATTTCAGCATGCATTTCCTCTATATAAGAAAGAAAAGTTATTCAGTATCAGCAAAGTTACTGTCAGCATTTTCTACTTGGGGTCAATGGAACAAATAAAATGCTGCCAAGACAAGAAAAAAAAAAAAACCTGCAAGATTCTGCTGTTGCCATTTTGATAACTGCTGAATAGTAGCTGTAATACACAAACCCCAACAGAAGTCTTCTATTTCACTTCTTCTCAGACAAAAACTTTGAGCTTGACAGAGCTGACTCTGGTCTGTGGCAAAAGCTACTTGTCATTCTGGTGGATGGTCGCCTGTGCTTTTCAGATCCTAAGCTTAACAGCCTACAGCAGCTAAGTCTTGCAACCCTCCTTCCATGTCTTAGAAGAAACTTTTGCAGGATAATGGTAACCCTCACTGAGGTTCAGACTTTTCCTACATCCTGTAAGACACTATGAACAGGTTTTCACCAAGTCATGCTCAACAAACTGAAAGCTCCACGCAGACTTTCTGTCTTCATGCAGCACTAAAGTACATTTGATTTAACACACATGACACGAGGTACTCTGCACCCATGCTGCAAGACCAGCCACATGCACAAGGCTGCCGTATGTACAGTGCATACGTGGTGAGTTTGATGTGTCCAAGTATTAAAGAGGATTCTTGTGCCAGGTTAGAAAAAAACGCATACTTGATTCTGCCTGAATCAGAAATAGGAGATCAGCATTTTCAGAGCCATGAACAATGTACTGATATCATTTCCCAAAACACCTTAAGGTAAAACAGACAAGTACAAAACTTGTTAATATATTCAGATTCCAGTGCAACTAATGATAAGGATGTATTCCACTGCATCAATGATTCTTAAACTTTTGGGAGCTGTCTCACGTCAAGAAAAAAGGAGATCTCTCTTCAGTTCTATAATGTGTTGTGAAAGGCATTCCTTCTTTAATTCATGCACCTCAGAGCCAAAAAAAAAATTTACGCTGCTGAATTCCCCATTTTGAGAAGCTTTACGTTCAAATTTAAGAAGATTACCACATAGGTGGTTTGTACATTTATTTGTCACTGTAAGACACTAGTCAGGTTACAGAGTCATGCATGTTGGTACACATTGGTAAGGCAGTTTTGAGCTTTTTTCACTTTTTAATTTTAACTGTGTTATAAACCACTTACCTTCACTCAACTGATCCACTGACTGTTTAGAAACTAGATTGGACAAAGATTCCACCACTGTGCTTCTTTTCCTGAATCTAAAACAGTTGTACATGTTAAAAAAGAAATCCACATTATTTCAACATAAAACTGAACTTAATTATTAGAATTCTTAACCATTTCCAACCAAAACTGATAAAGATTCTTAGCATAGTGATGATTTACCAAGTTTCAATTCTTTGAGAAGTCTAAACCCTTTTATGTTTGTAGGGTCATAAGCCTATCCAACCTTAAATGCATGCTCACAACATCAATTAATCTACTTTAAGTGTATAATAGGTTCAACCTCACTTCCACCCACCAGCTGGAGAGGTGTCTCTGATGCTGAGCAAGATACTTGAAAAGGACTTTTAAGTTTTACCAGTTGCTTTTTTCTGTTTCTTAAACTTGCACACAGAATTTGAATTAAGAAAAAATCAAGTGGCACTCTTTTTTCAACATAAATGCTTCAGTATTTTATGGTGGTTTATGCCAGATAAAATACCAAAACAATCATATTTTTTTACTTCCAAAGAATCACAACTGTACATGTTATAATTCCAAAAATTAGTTTGTTAACTATTTACAGACAACTTAGCTTTACGAAGAAGCTAAAGAAACAATTCTACACTTAGAAAAGGAATGTATTTTGTAAACCAGGAAGTCACTGATTATCAACACTAAGCATTAGCTTATTACTTGCTTACACTATTCCGCACATTGACAAGCACAAGATCCTGACAACAAGATTATGACACAACAGGTAAACATAATAAATACGAGAAAAGAGTCAGTTAGGGAACATGTAGTTCTGGCAGTTCTTCGCATTTGAATGTTTGATTGGCCTTTGTCTTGCATTTTTATGAGTTTTGCAACAGACTAGACCAGAGTACTTATGTTCATATCCTGCAGAGATGAAATCCTGTAGGAAGCTGTCTAAACTACAAGAGCATCTAATCTTCAGACATACTAAACAACACAGTTCAGATGAAACTGCAAACTGATAGTACATCTGAAAAAGATGCAGAAACTGAACCTTCTATTTTCTTCAGATAATATCTGATAATTTTATCCCATTTCCTTTTTTTTGGTCATTGCTGAGATGATGATGGTAAATGCCTAAACTGATGTGTGGCGGTCATTTCCTTGGAGATCATTTGTGATAAATTATGGCCTAACCAATATGATGAAGAACTAGTAGAGTAGAATTCAATTCATTTTTGTCAGAGCCTTGTTAAACAATTAAGCTTTTACAAGCCATTTTCCTTTTTTTTTTTAATTAAAAATATAAAGCTCACTAACAACTTTTATTTTCTGTCCTTTTTCATTGTTGTTCAAAGAAAAAACAAAAGTAAAATGTTTAGATCATTTCTGATGGAAATAATAGCTCTTTAATTTTAAGATAAGCTAAACACATTTGCATCAACAATAAAAAAAATGTATTTGTTAAGCTTAGTACAAGCTCAATTGTATTAGTTATTACTAGTTCCACCTTGGAAAACAATTTTTTTAAAAAGACTGTTTTCATGCTGAAAACGAAAATTCAAAATACAGAGCTTTTAAATTGTTGGAAAACAAAAAGTCACAGTTGGCAATAGCTCAGACAGTTCAATCATGTAATGTCTGCTTATGTGTAGATCTACAAAGCCAACCCAACCACTTAACTTTAGCAGCTATTAATACCCAGCCACAACAAGTCTGTTGTTTCCACAATACTCTGTGGAAAAATACTCTCACCAGTGCTAACTACATAGTGGGACTTACTCCACTTTTACAAATTTAAGCCACTATCATACTGACAGGAATCTGTTTTAAAGGCATAGAGAGAGCTGGGGTACCTGACAAAGAACACTCAGTGGATTAAGTATCTCACAAATGTTCAATGCTTGGGCATACCTTTGGCAGGTTTGCAAAGCCTCCTTCATTGTAGAAATTCCCATTTGTATATCCTGCTGTTCAAAGGTCATAGCAGCTTGCATAACTAAAATAGTGCTGTATCCAAGTGCATGGTACATGCTGTCTTTGGACCTAGGGAAAACATAAATCGTGTGCATTTAAGCAACACATTACATTACAATACAAAACTAAATGCAGAGACACTTGCATGAATTTGTGAAAAGACAGAAGAATGAAGCAGGAAAGTAATAGACACGAGAACATAAACATATTGTTTTCCATTGGGTGATACAAGTCTGCCATCACAGCAAGTTCCAGAAAATGTCCCACTTGGGTTACACAAACATTTGCACTTCATTAAATAACATTTATAGTCCGCTGGTATATCTTTTCAATTTAGTTAACTAAGCCTTGACATAAATACTTGTTTGTATGTTTTCACTCAACATAACTAATGACCTCCATCTAACGTTACTATGTGATCTAAAGACAAAAATCTGCATTTGTGTCACAGAAATATCAATACACAAATGCTTGGTTCTACATTAAAGACTGCACTGAACTAGTCTGTCTCACAACATAATTATACCGTTCAAAAAAAAAATTGTTGGAAAGTGCCTGGAAAGTGCCTACAAAGTTCACATACTCAAACATACTAACTGCAACAAACAGCACTATTGCTAACATTATGTCAGGCAAACTCAGGTTTCATCTAACTAAGTTTCAAGAAGCTCAAGTAAATGAAGACCGCATACTCCTTTGGCAGCCTCTGTGGTACTGTATTAGCAAGTGTCCAGTTTGAACCTCCTCAGCCTCAGCTTGTGGTGACTGACTCGTTTTACCATCTAATACTATGGAGAATGGTGCCTCTGTCTTTGCAACTTCCCCTCAATAGATTCAGACTGCTCCCAGATAAATGCCCACATCTCCTTTCTGTCAAACTAAAACAAACCCTTCTGAATAATTCACACATTCTAGTTTTTAGATATGCTTCTAGCTCTTTGTTGGATGATCTCCAGTTTCCCCAACATTTTTTCTTCCTTCTAAATCAAGGAGCCAACTACCAAACGTACTTTTGAGGACAAAAATCCTAAGCAGAGTCAAGGAAGATAGACGTTTGGGCTAAGTCTGTATTTATCGCATCTATCAACACTTACATTATTTAAGGACTTAAGTTTAACTTTCAATAAAAATCTATTTTTCAATAAAACAATTAGGATTATTTTTTTTAATAGGTGGCTTTTTGTTTTTTTGTAATAGGTCAACATTTGCAATGTGCTATATGATAGGCTCAAAGTTTGTTAGCAAACATCAACTACAAACAAACTATTTGTGGTACATTAAAACAGTATGACAAAATAAGGGGGATTTTTTTGTTTTACAGTGCAAAATGAAACATATATGAAATGCACAAAAAACATTTGGGCAGTATGTGCATGTATTTAGTAATACACTCATGCACAATCCTTGCCTGTAGAACTTATTATTTTACAATACTACCTAAAAATAGTTTTAGCATACATACAAGTGCAGGTGGGCCTCCTGAAAGCATTTATTTATTACAAATAACACTATACAATGCTCAGAGAAGAGAGGTGGAGAGTAAGTATAGCTAATTTTAAAAGCTCTCCATAATACTAAAATATGAGAGCTCTCCATACTACTAAAAGCAAACACTTGATATCTGTGTCATCCTTCTGAAGTTTTATTTAATGGTGTTCTTGAACTTGTCCACACAACACCAACCCATCACTCTTAATCCATTCTTACTAGCACTAGACTGCAGAGCAAGAACTTTACCTCACTCTACTAACACAAGCTACAGATCCCTCTTGCAAAACATCCCTCAATAGCATACATATCTTTGAGACACAGATAAGAGAAGAACAATAAATGGGATTCAGATCCCAGTTCTGAAGACCAGCCACCCAGACGGCCTCCCCACAAAGTCACAGATAAGCTAGATTTGCCCTATGAACCTCTCAGTATTCTTTAATTCCCTACATCTGCACTGCCACGCTCTTCTTCTCAGTGGAGGAAAGGCAACAAGAAAACAAGCAGAATTAGTCAGAAGATCAAAAGATAGACTTTAAAAGTGTGACTCAAACGTAATATAAGGAAAACAAAACCAAAAACAACAAAAAGAGTATTCTGGAGTTTTGTTCCAGATTTTTCCTCTTGTCAAAAGCAGTATCACTATACAAATTCTCCGACCAAAGATACATTGGATAAGGTCTTGCTCCCCTGCTTTTCCCCTCTGCATGAGGAAAGACAGTTTGAATGACTAACAGAACAATTCAGTGCTTCATCAGCAGGTTTTGAGATGGTCTTAGGGAGACACGCACACTACTAAAACCCCAAAATATGGATAAATGCTTTTAGACAAAAGGGAATAAATGAAAACTACTATCTTCAGAGGCCTTAAATTAATCTTCAGGTACTAGTTAGCATACTTTACACTATCTGTTTGCAGTAAGATCAGCAAATAACAGGACCTCACCATGGACGAAGTAGCTCCAGTGCTTCGGAGAACTTATTGTTTAGAAATAAGTTCAGTGCCATTGAACATTCTTCCAGAGCACACTTGAGATCCATCTTCGATGCCCTAAAAAAGATTCTTAGTTTACTCAAACTGTAAATATAAACACAAAATGAAAACATAGCTTTTCCTTATATAACATCGACGGTTTCTTATAGCAATTTTATTGTTCTCAGAATCTACCTTTTCAAAAACAGCTTATATGCTTAACATGCTATCCCTGTTACACAGGTGTGTCCTTTTTACTTAAGTGATGTTTATGGCTTGGCTCTCCTTTTCTTACTAGATCAATTCTCAAAACTTATCACTGTGCCCAAGCTCTCAATCCTCCCCACCAATACAAATACTGTGTAGACTCTGTATTCATATCTGAATCTCAGGAGAGGTGACAAAATATTTTCATCCAAAAAAGTATTAAACAGATGTTCCCTCTGCAAACAGCTATGCCAAAAATAGTCCTGTCAGAAGTCTGTAGCTATGCCAAAAGCCTTTGTTCTTTCTAATTCACTACAAGTAAAATCATTTGCACTTGCTTAAGTGGAAGTCATCTAACAAAACTGCTTCGTTGGCCAGTTTTGCCTGAAAGACTCAGGAGCATTCAAATTGCTCCATGGGCAGAACTGAGGACAAATTGGACAATCATGGTAGTACTAACAGCAAGAAGCTACACAGTCATCAATATGCACAGCTGGATCTGGAAGAGATAATCTCTCTACAGCTTTAAAACAGGTTTTAACTTGATAATGGGCTTTATCCAAGCAAGGTTAAGCAGTGGTAAGCAACAGATCTTGTCAATGAGATAAATATTTAAGAACTGACCAGAAGAGAAGAACTCTGAAGGAGGAATTTAAAGAGAGACACAACAGAGGAGTGCAGCTGCTCTTAATCTAACAGTAACACGCACACACATAAAACAAACAAGGAAAAATGTGCATACGACAATATGACTGGACAGGAGGTTTTTTTGCTCTCCAAAGAACAGTGTTAAGAAATTTTTAAAAAATATTTTAAACAACTAAAAGTTTTTACAAAACACTCAGTTTTATTAGCTAATTCTATGAATATCATCTGCTAACAAATAATTTTCAAATAACTAATATAGCTAGATTTAAAGTCTGGGGGTTTTTTCTAGTACACAAGTAAGGACCTTAGTTAGTCCGCCAATAACACATCATCACTTCCACTGTGTATTTCCATGCTTCTGTATTCTCTTTTCAGATACGTGTTTTAGGAAACTGTTTTACTCAATCCATGCCTGCTTAGATTACACGTTTCATTTGCTCAGCCTTTCCTGACAGGAAGAATGGGTTAGCTGCTTTCAGGTTCTCATGAAGGGGGAAAAAAAAAGGCCAGGGGCAGGTTGATATCTACTAGACAGCAAGAATGAATTTTTACTCTTTCATATCTGCACACTACAACTATTTTGTTACTAACATCAAGGCAGTGCCCTGTTTTCAAGTGTCTTCCCATACAAATGCCAGAGGTCATATTAGGGTGTGTGGAATCTTCAAAAATTACAGAGACAGATGGACCTTTTGGTTCCTCCACCCCACCCCCCCACCCCCTCTTACAGCATGTTTGATAATTTCTTGTCTGCTATGGGAACAGAAAAACTCAGTGCAAGGCAATGATCTGCTATACAGAGTATGGAGAATTAAGAATAGTCATCTGAAGTAAGGGAGGGAAGAGAATGTCAAGTGAGACATGTATAACCACACAGTTCATAAAACACTCTGAGGGAAGGTAGATCATTCATAAGCACAGTTAAATTAACAGTTGATGACTGCTTTATACATTTAATTACAAAGGTTTTGTGTTTGGCCTAGAAAGAGTAAACAAGTTTCCTACTACTTCATGTGAGAAGTAACAGCAGATGAATATATTAAAGTATAACAGGACCCCACCACTATAGCAGTTTCTGAATGCAAGGATCAAGGTGTAAGGGCGATGTCTTGTTTCCAGCTGCTTAACTGGGCCTCAATGTAGTGAACAGAAATACATTTCCTCTATCTGTATGCTATAAATCTGCACACTTCCTATCCTGCAATCAGAAACTGTTGGAACTTCCTCTGGAAGGAAAATCTAATCTTTATTTTGTACAACACAAGCACAGAGATGCTGGCTTTTTAGCTATAAGTGAGGACTGTATGCCATCAGGCTTCCAAATGCCATCATATTCCCAGCTCTACCATCAACACCATCACATATCAATATTTTTAAAATGATTCCATAAACAAGGCTTTTTAAACAATCTGGCACCATGTCAAAACTATGTATTCCTACTTAAATGGGTAAGCAGTTGATCTCTTCAGCACTGGGCTGTCATGTTTTTTTCACGTATTACAGACTGGTTCCCCTGATGATGACTTTATGTGCGACCAAAGCCTGCAGACAATGCAAATGGTATTCCTTATGTTAATATACGTCCTGTTCCATACATCAAGCAAGCTTAAAAAGTTATTCTGCCACTTCAGATATAAAACTTGGGAAGTTAGTTTTCTCAAACTGTTATTTCTGGTAAGTGGATCGTATCCTCTATCAGAGTGTCTCATTCTGTTTCATTACTCCTCACATATATGTTCTACCGTTTTCCTACATCCTGCAGCAGAGAAAGATAACCAAAACGATTCACTCCAATTCAGATTCAAAATTTGATATCAGAACAGTCAGAAGAAACAAGCACACTGACTCAGAAGTAACTTGCCTACCTTCGCTAGAATTTCTATGTAGAGGGTCAGAAAAAGCACATTTTCTCCTCTAATCCCAAAACATCACAAACCAATTTCTACAGCAAGTTACCAGACTGATGAAGTCAGCAAGTAATGCTGACTCACACTCTTTCTCACTCATGTTGTTTTCCTTCTAATTCAGTATTATATAGGCAATCTTATTTTTTCCCCTACGCCCACATACTGTTTTCCTAGAACTGACAAAAACTTTACACATTTTATCACATTGGACAGGCATATTCTTCAATTTGCCCCACAGCAGATTAAATTAACACTACTTCAGTGATACTACTACGGATTTTACAGCTAGTAGCATGGTTTAACCCCAGTCATCAACCAAGTCCCACACAGCCACTCACTCACTCCCCCACCAGCAGGATCAGGGAAAGAATTGGAAGAGCAAAAGCTGGAGAACTCTCGAGTTGAAATAAGGACAGTTTAATAGGGAAAACAAAAGCCACATGCACAAGCAAAGTAAAACAAGGAATTCATTCACTGCTTCCCATGGGGAGGCAGGTGCTCAGCGACCCCCAGGAGAGCAGGGCCCCGTCACATGTAATGGTTACCTGGGAAAACAAACACCATCACTCCAAATGTGCCCCCCTCTGCCTTCTGCTTCTCCCCATTTTATGTACTGTATGATGTCATATGGTATGCAACATCTCTTTGGTCAGTTTGGGTCACCTGTCCCAGCTGTGTCTCCTCCCAACCTCCCATACGCTCCCAGACCCCTGGTCAGTGTGGCAGTACAAAAAACGGAAAAGGCCTTGGCTCTGGGTAACCTCTGCTCAGCAACAACAAAAACATCTCTATATTATCAACCCTGTGCTTAGCACAAATCCAAAGCACAGCCTCACATTAGCTACTGTGAAGAAAATTAACTCTACCCCAAAAGCAGCACAAAACTGTTAACCTCTGGGGGGAAAAAAAAAAAAAAAAAAAGGAATGGAAAATGTGCTATATTGAGTGTTACACAAAGACAATAATTTCACATTACAAGAATGAAGCAACATTGTGTTACTGTCAAGGTACTGAGGATACTTTTTCCTGACACAGCATTTTTTAAGTTATCTTCTCACTTCTGTTTCAAATATGTTTTATGAAAAAAGGAGTTAATGTTCTGAATTTCAGCAATAGTTTGTGTATCTTGAGCTTTGTGCTCATGAAACTGTTCCAATACAGTGGAGTTATACTGTCCATATACAACCTCTTTGCAACTTTAGTAGGTTCTTCTAATCAACTACTTGCAGTTGCAATAGAAACACAGCATAAAAATGCTGACTTGAAAACCCTGAGATGTATTGGAATACTCACTATTAGGATGACAATCCTCAGGATGTACAGAGAGCAAAACCACAATTTGAAATGTTAATGCAGGTTATAGCTTAAGCCACTTTCCTCCCCCCCTCCCTATCAATTAAAAAGGGAACATAACTTTTAGCCTAAACCAAGTGAAAAGTCAGCACATTAAAAGTTGTTTGAACATGTAATAATGAGTTATACAGTATCACCTCTCTCTCCACACCAGACCTCAGTGTAATAGCATTCCTGAAAAGCCACTATATAGCTAAAGTTACACATTAACTTGATGCATGCTGCTGTCTTTGTATCTACATAAGACTTAGTCAGCTTTTAACAATCATTCCAGGTGCAATGATTTACCAACTTTTCTCTTGAGAGGGGATTCAGGAGCTAGAAATGGGAGAACTGCAGAAAAAATTGTCTTTAATCCAGCAACACTTTCACATATTAATCACATACTGAGTTCCATATCACTTTTTAACATCAGCTGGACTTAATGTCCAAGCAACACTTTGCATGAATAAGGATTGCAGAATTTAGTTTATAAACTTCTAAACTCCTCTGTCAGCTCTTTAAATCATGGCCAAAATAATCAGCCTTACCTGATGAACAAAATTTAATTGTCAGCAAATTGGTTTTGTTTGCTACTGGTCTTACTAACCAAAGTCTCACGAGGCTACAGATATTGTAAATACTTGTTGTTATTACCGGGAGCAAAGCGAAACTTAGAAGAATAAAGACCACAAAAGGTGAAACTAGCAGTAACAATTCAGCTTTATGATAATCATACTAAGACGGAAATCTGACACACGCAAAAGGAGTGAAAATAAGGTCTTCTAAAAAATTCAGAGTATACAGAGAGGATGCTATTTTGATTATAGGTATCAAGAAAACCAGATGCATCACAATAAAGACAACACTTTATCAAGGCATAGATACTTCAGCAAACAAATGACCCTTAACATTTACAGAGGCTTCATCAGAAAAATCTTGTAGAGGCATTTGTTGCCATAAACTCAAATAAAAGTCACTCTGTGTGTGAACTACAGCATCAACAGGTAGGGCAGAAAGAAACTACCATCCATAGCACTCTACTAGAGCAACAAATAGGCATGCATCTGCTAGGTTTTTTTACTGCTAAGTTAATGATAACAAAACAGCTTTAAAACGGATTGCTCTCAGTTGGCTCTTGTCTTCCGTAAAAAGATTAAGTCAAATAGTCCTCATATGCTATCAAAATCTGATACTATCGGTATTCAGGATGTTTCTGTACTTTCTGAAGTGGATCTTTCCCTCTGTAGCAATGAATCAGAAAACTCAGTATTGAACTGTTTATGTTTTACCTTGTCAAAAAGAGTAACTATCTTGTCATGAGTCTTAAACAGCGATGTCATAACCTCTTAATGACAAATAACAGCTGATCCCTCACTAGAATATACTCTAATAGTTCCACTTTCTTGGCTAAAAGGCTCTGGATATTTTTGAACACTGCTCTACTTAAAGTGTACTGATCCCTTGGAATGTCCAAGAATAGTAGTCATTTTAAAGCTTTTTAGCTGGTAGGGTTCATCATCTTCTCTCTCCTTATCCAAGGGACTACTGTGAGACACATAGTGGCATTGAGCTCTGTGCTGATGTGTACTGCCTTGCATGCATGCTTGGCACAAAATAAACTCAGGCCTTCAACAGAAGCCTGTGAGGACTGGAACCCACTGCCTTCCTGGAAGACTTTCTCCCAAGATCAAAACATGTGCTAAAGCTACGGTATCAAAGGTCACGGTCTACAGCTTACACAGATATCACTAAATCTTCATGTTCATGTCTTGCATGGCTTTACATGCCAAAATGTGCTTCATGTCCTCTTGGCTGGCTTTAATATGTAACAAAGATCCAAAACATTTGAAAAACTGTCACCACCACATCACCAATCATATATTAAACTCAAATGATCCAGACCCTTTGTGTTACTTTCAGCAAAGGACTTTGTTGCCGGCATCCTTCTTTTTGCTATGTTTTAATTTTAAACTATATATATTGGGTGTGGCTGAGTTGGAGTTCATTTCCCCATAGCAGCCCTCACAGTGCTATGCTTTGCACTGATAGCTCGAAGGGTGTTGATAATACACCGGTGTTTTGGCTCCTGCCGAGCACAGCATCAGTACTGTAACCTTCCTTCTCCAGTTGAGGGCAAGATCCTGGGAGGGGACACAAGTAGGTCAGCTGACTCAAACTGAGCTAAAGGATTTTCCATACCACATGATGTCAGTTCAGATATAAAAGCTAAGGAAAGGAGCGGGAAGGACATTCATTGTCTCCAGTGGCTAAGGAATCATCACCCATGCTGAAGCCCTGCTTCTCAGAGGTGGTGTATGGAGTTTGTGTTTGCTGGGTGTAGCAAAGGTTCCCTTACCATAGCAATGCTTGCTAGTCTCAGTAATCTATTGTAATGCTTTTGGGAAGTTGCATGTTATTTCTGTAAAACCCTTTTTGCCAAAATGCCTACTTTCTCACCAAATTAAAAGAAATCTCTTAGAGAAGAATGTGTGTAGTTTTTCTCCAGATGTGATTTCAAGGTATCAAAGAATCAAAGACTTTGCAAGGATACACATGGGTGAAATCTCTTTAAGTTTAAAATCAAAGTGTACAACTGGCAAAAGTGCAGAACTTCTGGACCAGGGTGTAACAGCATCTTATTCCTCTCATCCATCACTTATATATGAGCCAACAGTAATACTTCACTTTTCTGCTTAGTGCTGTGCCAAAACTTAATTTGAGTCATTTCATAAGGGACAATGTTATCTGCTACAACTTTTATCAATCATTTGCACAGACACTACATTGCAACACAAATCATCAAACAAAAGCTGAGATATTCTGTAGACGTACTGTGTGTGTGTGGCCAGTCTCTTCGCGAACGAAGAACCGGGGAAGGTCTTTCCACCTTCCAGCCTGCGCATTGGATTTTTTAGGTGAGACACAGTGTGCGCGGAACTGAGCCCACCCTTTAATCCTGAGGTTCATCTGCCGGGGCCAAGCGAGCTTGGACGGTGGCAGCGAGGTCCTCAGGACGTAGAT